TTCATTACAAAAGCAACATTAAAAAATAAATAAAAGTAATGAATACCTACCTGATGCTTGCTGAGTGTCGGCATACCAGCCAATGAGATTAGATAAGAGGGAGAAATGAGAAATACATATTGGAAAAGAAACGTCATTAAGATGGCAAGAACCAGGAAACAAGTCATTTGTGAAATAATTAGAAGCAATCAGGAAATGAACTTGCATATAAAATGTATAGAATTATTAGAGATTGAATTATGCTGCTCAAAAATATATATTGTACTCCTAAACCCTAGAACCTCATAAAGGACCTGTATTTGGAAATAATGTCCTTGGAGAAATAAAGTTATACTAAGGTAATGACTGATGTCCTAATAATGAAATATGAAGGCAAGGAGAAGGCATCTGATAACAGATTAGTTACACAGCTACAAGCCAAGGAACACCAGCGTGGTACCTGAAGCTCAGAGGAAGGCATGAAACAGAGTCTCCCTTAGATCCTCGAAGGAACACAACCATAACAGACACCTTGATTTTTGGATTTCTAGCTTCCAGAAATGTGAGAGGATAAATTTCTACTGTTTCAACCCACCCAATTATGGAACATTGTTCCAGCACTCCTAGAAGATGAATACACAGAACCCAAAAGCTTTTCTGCATGCCAGCAGTAATCAAATATAATGGGGAAAAAAAGAGCTCCACTGAAAGCCAAAGATTTTTTTAAAAATAAATTGCACTGTATTTGGAGAAATAATATTGTCAAAATGTGGTTTCTCCCTGTCAATCGAAATTCATTGAAATAAAGTACAACAGGGCTTGGAGTATGGAGAGAATTTGAAGAAATTACTCTGAAAAATCTAATCTTTTTTTAAAACAGGCAAGAATAGGAGAAAATATGAAAAAGAATAGGGATAAGAGGGAACTAGCTTTACCCATGGTTAATACTTGTTAAATTATAATAAAATGTATGGTAAAAGAATAGAAAATCAAAGAAAATGTGAGCCCCAAATACAAAGATTATGACATACATGCATCTTTACACATACAAATTTGTATGTATATAAATACAGTATTTAATAAAGGATACTTCAGATCCCTGGGGAAAAGGTAGATTATTCATTAGCTAGACATTTGAGGGGGAAAAATAACAAAGCCAGACCTCTGTTTTACTTCTCACACCAAAA